GGAGTTTTGAGTTTCTGGATTTGAAAGGGTTGGGATCCCACGGGTGGCACTGCAGCCCCTGGGGTGTGCTGGGTGCCAAAGCCAGGCCCCACCAGGAGCTTGGCAAGAGCAGCAGGAGCTTCTTGGAGCTGCTGTGGGATCAGCAACTGTGCAGCCAAGGAGCCTCCTTCCTGTGAACAGCCAGAGCTTGGGCCTTGGGTAGCAGAACACTCTGTGTGCCCAGAGCACAACAAAGTGGCAGGAGGGGATGGATAAGGATAAACCAGCATGTTGGGGGCACCAAGTCAGGCTCAAACTGCAAGAACTTAAAAGGCAAAACTGCAAAAATGGCATTTAATGGCATCTTTTCCAAACCAGTGTGAAATGCCATCAATGTATTGGGAGTGTGTGGACAAAATAAACAGTCCCAACTTTCAAGCTCCTGCTGGGTTTCATTCAATTTCCTAGAGGATGAAGCCAGATCCCAAGAAAAGGTTGCAAAACAAGAGGGGGCTGCCCATGTGCTGGCAGCTCAGAACCCCCCACCCTGAACCCACCCCCAGGGCAGGACAGCACCCCAGGGATCTTTTGCCTGATGGATCTATCTCCTTAAAGCATCTTACCACAGTGCTCACAAATAAATGTAGGCATCTTAAGCCCTGTTCCTGTAGCCCATCTGACCCCAAGCACCAGCCACCTGGCTTGGCCAGTGCCAGGCTGGACTTTATGTAAGACTTTAATTGCAAATAATTCAAAGAAATAATTCCCTCCTGGGAAGCTGACATTTTGTGTTTTTATTAAATGGTATTTTATTATAGCATGAATCTAGCACTGCTGCTCAATGGGGGTGAAGGCATGAGCTATGTTAAGGGAAAAAAAATAATCATCAGTTGGATTTGCTGATGGTTAGAAGATCTGATGCTTTTTAAAAACTCAAATGGGCACAGGGCAGAAGAATTTGATGGCTGTGGTCTTTTGTTGAAGAGCTTTCTGAACACCAAGTGCAGCATCTTCACCCCCCTCCAGAGCACAGGGGTATTTTTCAGCATTGCTAATGTAGGAAATGCTTCTCAAATTTGGTTAAATTCTGCTTTTGGGAAGTTATGACCCCATTGTGCAGTTCAACCCCTCAGACTGGAACCCCTGGGTGGGTGTCCCAACCCTGTCCCCCTGGAGCTGCTGCTGATCCCACTGTAACACTGGGATACAGATTCCCCTCTGGAATGCAACAGTAAATCCAGCAAGACTTGGGAAATGCAAGTGATGATTTTTAAATTAAATTATTCATCTGAACTTAATGATCAGAAATTCTCCCTTTCTAGAACTTCACTACAGCAGCAATTAGCTTTTTATTTTTCCATATGAGGTGAACAATGAGCACAAGAAAAGGGAACAGGATCAGCTGTCAGAACCAATCCTGCCCCGGGTACACAGCAAAAACTCTACAGAAGCATTTTGGAGCCATTTAATGAAAAAAAGCAGAATTTTATTATATGGTTTCTGTCCATTATTCGGCATTGCTGTAAATGGCTCACATTTACTGCAACCTCTGTACAATGTGTGGCTTTGTATTACCAGAACAGCGAATTTAAATGAAAAAATAAATGTTCAACAATTCCACACAAGCTTTTACAGTCCAACATTTCACTGAGTAGGTGAAAACTACAGACTCATTACTACAGAATTATTCAGCATGAATAAAAAACTACAACTTTTATTTTTAAACAGGAGTCACTGGTTTAATTTCTTTATGCTGTTTAAAATTACTGTGATAAAAATAATGATTTTTTTTTTTTTTTTTAATAATGCCATACACCGGTATGATATAGGATTTGTCCCCAGCATATATCTTTCCTTTAATATACAAAATAGAATAATGACACATCGCTGACTCTGCTGTTACACGAGTTAGTTTGGAGGTGGGGGATATTTTCATACACACAGCCCGTCACCAAAGTGCCTCTCACTGTCGGAAAGAGGTCGGAATCCTTTCCTGAACGTTTGGTTCCTATGTAACACGGATGGCTCAGCAACACCTGGCTGCAGGCTGGACTGCAGATGAGAGTTCAACTAGTACATAATACATACAATCTTGTAAAAATCTCACTCTAAGGTATAACCCTGAAGTCCTCACTCGCTGAAGTTTGACTACGGGAAACAGGATTGAGCTGATCTTCATCCAGGCACTTCCTCCTGTTTTCTACCTTTTTCCGTGAAAATGGCGAGGTCACTTTCCAGCTCCCCTTGGCACCTTTCCCAGCCCCTCCCTCCCTCTGCCCTCCCTGCCACGGCTCCCACCACACCTCGCTCCCTGCCCTCTCCCACTAAGGCCATTCCCAGTCCCCGGGCAGCGGGCGCTGCCGGCGGCGCCGTCCCTCGCTCGATGCACTTTGTGATAAGGCACTGAAGAGACAAAGTCAGAATTCTCCCTGCTTTATCCAGAGTGCAGATACTACCCACTGCTACAAGGACTACGGATACACAGAACACGGACTCCTCACTGCTTACTAAAGCACTACAGATTTCTAGTTGTGAAGTTTAAAACCGAACAGCACGCACAGGACAATTGCTTTCTTCTAACATCACAGTTTCCTTTTTTTTTTTTTTCCTTGAATCCATCAACTAAAAATGAATATACAGGCAGATAGACAAGAAGGGGGTAGAGAGCCTCTCCTCCTATGATACCAGTTCTCTCAGGGTGGTGGTAATTTGTTCGTGTTCACTGTAGTTCCTTTCTAGCTGGCAAAAGAAGAAGGTCTGTGTCTCGGTGTACACAGACTCACACACCCACGCTCACACGCTCCTTCACACAAGCTCAAATTGAGGTATCCAGGGATGCAGCTCTTAACAACATTCTCCAGAGCAAGAACAGTTTTCCTGTTAACTGAAGAGCCCACCCGAAACCAACTGGTATGAAACTCCTATCTGTATCTCAACAGGTCACGGGAATATTTTCATTGAGTTGGGCTGAAAGTTATAATTAAAATACTGAACTTTACCTTAACTGTTACAAAATGTACATATTGTTTACAGATCATTCAAAGAGAAGAGAATGATTACCTTTTTTTCTTTTAATTAAAGATGGTACTTTACTCCAAAGTACTGAATATAGTATCTTTTTCAATAGGTATAACATTCAAAAAGAGATTTAAGAAAGGATGAAAATTTAGTTTCCTATCTCACTTGGAAACAAACTGTTGCTGAACAGTAGAAATGTGCTAGTGTATTGTGAACAACCTATGCTCCGTATTTACATATTGCTGGTACCTCTATGTGTATTATTGCCAGATTTTTTTAAGCTGCTTTTTTAAGCTGTGGTCTGTGGGGCTGTATGTGACATTAACCCCGTCTGCTCAGAGGTGCACGCCTGCCCGGCTCACACTGTCTGCAGCAGGGTCTGATGGAGCTGTGCCTGGTAACCACCCATACAGATAGGAGTCTTCCACCCCAGCTCCCACTTGCATTTTTACACAGTGATTGGCTAAACACAAAACTGACCCTACAACAGCCACTGAACACAGGTTTTCCTTTCTACACAGAGTACTTCTTTGGATAGGGAACACCGAGGCCTTCAGCACTACCTGCAGACAAACCACCCCCTGTGTGGGTTACCATCCAGCACATCTGTGACCCCTACAAAAAATATAATTACATGTATCATGATAAAGCAATCTGTCATCTAAAAATCATCCTTATTATACACTATACAAGCTATTTTACAATCATTTAATAAATTGCTTTTAAAGCTGCAGTAGCCCTTCCCTTCTTTTCTCAAATCAGCAAATATACCGATTATACATATTTGAAACTATAACTAAATATAAAAATATATTAGGTTTTGTATTTTATCAGATGATCTTTCTCGTTTCTATTACACAAATAATCTGGCCACTTGGAGTAAAAATCAAATTTTAGAGTGGCTTCGTAAATATTTAAATTTTGAGATACAGAAAATTCTTAAGGTGCACGTAGAAAAGGCTACTACAGCTTCTAAACGTTTTAAAATACAGTTCTCAATGGCAACAAGGAGAAATTCACAAGACCTGTGGGAATTGTATGGCACGCCAGGAGCTCCGGAGGAAGGGATGCAGCCTTACAAAGACAGAACGTTTGACATACGACTCTAAGACCACGAAATCAGTAGCGGAGCTTTCCTGCTCTCCAGGAAAGGGGGTGAACCAGGGGCTTGGGAAGTGCAGGTGGGAAAACGGGGCTCTGGCCACGCCAGGCTGGAGTCTGTGCACCCCGAGATCCGGGCGGGCAGCGCGCGGCGTCTCCCCGAGGAAGAGAGTCTGGAACCGAGACAAGGAAACGGGACAAAACCAAAGCACTGGGCATAATTACACGTCTGCCTCTTAAGTCCGTGGTGTCTTTTCCCCAAACACTTGTATGATGAGAGATTTAAGTGTATAGAAAACGTGAGTTTCTCCACACAGAAGTAAACTTTTCTTAAGCTATGCATATTTTCCTGAAAATTTCCTGATGGGCAGTCAGGACTGATCTTCTTGGCATCAATGCAGCCCATGACTCTTCTCGTTATGGCTGTTGCATTATATGCAAAAATCAGGCTTTTTTTTTTTTTTTTTCAATATATAAAATAACCTGCTCATTTACATCCAGTTAGGACTGGGTTCGTTTGCTATGAATCTGCATATCCAACGCTTTTGCACATATACCAAAAGAATTGTTTCATTTGCATCTATTTAAATTAGATTTTGAGAATGTTCTCCCACCCACCCTGGCCCTTAAAAAATGCCAAATTTTTAAGGTCATTTTGACAGTTGAAAGCTATCAGGTTAGAAAAGCCCAACCCATTTTCACACGAATATACTCAAGGATTAATGTCTAGAGGTCATTTAGGAAAGCTACGAGCTGCCCCACCTTAAAAAACCAGCTGTACAATAGGCATCTTGAAGTATTACAAAAAAATTATGTAAGAAAAAATGAACAAGCCTAGTTCACGGTATATAAAGTTAAAGGAAATTGCTAAAACCAGACAGTAATAGCTATAAAAGGCACAACTTCCCTTTTCTGATATACACTTGTAAACTTTCTTCAGGTTACATGCATAAACCAAAATGCTACTTTAACTTTAAAAAAAAAAATAAATCCAAAACACTTTACTTAAAAAAAGAAAGAAAAAAAAAAAAAAAGAAACCAAAAAGCCTAGGAAATTGTCTCCAGCCAACTGCAGGAACTGATCAGCAGAATGTTCAGACACAGCCTCAGATCTTGTCACTGGTGGTTTTGATGCATCCATGGATGTTGCTCGAGGGGAGACCCAGAATTTCTGAGAAGTAAGATCTATTTTCCTTTCTCCCCCATTTTTCACCAAATGTGAGAAATCCGCTGCTTCTATAGCCTAAGTCTTGGCCCTCTGTAAACCACATGTAGTGCATAAGTACAAAAGAAACACCGGGGCAAGGACAAAATGAACCAGTCTGTTAGGTTTTTCCTTTACAAAAAAAAAAAAAAAGAAAGCTATCACTTGACGTTTTCTTAAGGCAACCCTTTTGTATTAAGGCAGTCACTTCTGATGAAATAAGAGCTTCTTGATATTTCCATTTGAATATTTTGGTATCTGATTGCTGATGATTTCTGCCAACATTTCTGGGAACTCAATACTCATGGATTTATCCAAAAATGTCTGGAAGCAAAAGCTCAGAAGATTTTCAACCACCTACAAGTGACAAAGCAAAGAATTACTGTCACACAAACACAGGAGAGCACCCACAGCAGCAGCCTCACCCCTTGCTCAGGTAACAGCTGCAGCACCGGGCACACACACTCAATTATCCTCTTTTTAATTAGTAAGTTTTGTACCTGGCATTCTAACACAGAGTGAAAGATTGTGCAAGGTCTTTACCAATACTGAAGAGGTTTTGGTATCAATTCCCACCCTAGCATATGAATAACACACACATGGATGAGCTTAATAAGCTCTTTCCAGATGCTTGGTACACTGACAAGACAAAAAATGGTAATTTTTGAGGTCTCAGAGTTTCCTTTGCCTTATCCAGCTTCAACACAACCTGGACACAACTTTGTACTAGATGTACAATTTAGAGCACACACCACCAAAGGAGACAGCCCAAATTCTGAGATTCCCTGCAAAATTAGACCACTACTGACAGTAAGAAAGCACCAGTGCACTATTTAAACAATTTCAAACAATTCCATAGATTCCCAACTCTGTCTCTGAGATCACACTGGTTTTAAGCTTCATCTGTTACTACTGCAAAATCATTTACAATTTCTGAGTTCCTCCATTTTAAAGCAAAGTAATTTTTAAAAGCTAAAGAGACTGAAAATTATACAAATGACAATATTGTCTCCCCTACAAACACAGTCTGAAAGCACCATGTTCACCTCTTTCAATCAGCCTTTAGCAGAGAGCAAGGGAGTGTGACCACCTCCTCCCCCACCTCCTCCCCCACCTCCTTAGTATTTATCCCTTTATATATTAAAAAAAGGATACAGATCCCTGTCATATGCCCAAACTTCCTTATCTGGAACATCTACAGAATTCATCAGAGCACTTACATCATGCATAGAGTCCAACAGTTTAGTCAGCTGATAAAATCGCTGCCAGTTCTGGCTGGAGTTCCCTTCTCTCTTCACTATGGCCTTTCCCAGCTCTTTAATGTAGGTCATACGGATTTCTTCAAACAAAGACTGACTCTTCAGGCCTTCCTTGGGAACTGTAACATTGACACAAACATTTAAGACACTATCCATCGATGAACTGTGTCATTATTTAGGTTCTCTTACATCACTTACATTTACGTGACCAAAAGAAAAAGGATTTAATGAAATGACAGCTGAGGCACAAGATGGGAAGCTGAGAGGACTCAATGAACAAAGAGCACAGGACTGCTGGCAAAATACAAGAAATAATGAAAAAGCCCAAAGGTAACCCAACAAAAAATAAAGGGAAGGGAACCAGACCATGGAGGCAACAACCCTAATCCCTGGAAGTGCCACCAGGCTGCAGTGCCCATGTTCTCAGTGGCTGGGGAAACATGGCATTGGAAAGATTCCACAGAAATTCCATGTGCTGAGGAAAGAGCCAAGGTAGGATCACAGGATGGCTTGGCTCAGAAGAGACCTTGAAAGATCATCTAGTTCCAGCCCACCTGACATGGATCAAATAACGTGTCCAGACAAGGCAGTAACTGAGTGACTGGACAACAAACTGACTGTCCAAGCTGGGGAGGACTCGGGTCTCAGCAGAGCTTCTTGGAACAGGGATGGGACATGGACCTGGTGCCAGCTGGATGAAAAGCCATGGTTTAGAAACACAAGGCATGGGGACTGAGGACCATATTCAGACTCAAATCCATGTTCAGTCCCTTCTGTATTAGGATGGTCCTTCTGAAGGCCAAGGACTAGTAAAAAAATCAGGACAAATCAAGCATATGGACTGCAGTGGTCCTTAAGATGCTCCATTTGAAGCCTTTGATTATCTTGGTCAAGTGAAAGGAAACAGCTGAAGATACAGGAGAAAGCTCAGAGAAAGCCAACTGAAAGCTAGAGAGGAGGAGAGAGGCCACTGAAGCATGGTCCCTTCCCAAAAAATCCAACCCCCACTGCACTGCCAGCATCCTGGAGATGCTGGAGTAATTTGTCTGCTTTGTCTACACAGAAGATGACATGTCAAAGTGAAGTAATTTAAATGGCAAAGGTCTGTGAGCTGTGCCTGTGTGTGAGCTGTGTGTCTAGACCCTCGTGGGACTCCTGTTTTACTCCTCTCAAGACAGAAACACAATGACCATAAATTAAAATAGTGAAGTCCTGGATTCAAAAGCTGTACAAATTTCAGCTATTCAATTTCAGAAGTTCCACAATGTCCCTCTTACACAATGTACTCCAAAAGCAATGTGGAATGTATTGTCTTTCACTGGAAGCACCACCAGGCCTTCCCCTGGTTAGTGCCAAGGCTTCCACACTGCGCTCGGGAAGGGGCTTGGTGCCACCACAGAATCACAAAACATGCTGAGCTGAAGGGACCCCTCAGGATCATCGAGTCCCAACTCCTGTCCCTGTGTAGGGCACCCCAAGAATCACTCCAAGGTCACCTCTCAGCCTCCAGTGCAGCCTCTTCCTCGTTCTGCCATGTAAATTCCTTTAAGGAAACTTCCAACTCCTGCAAGGAAAGTTGGCCTGCACCACATCCAAACACTTGAGGGATTTTCAGGAAGCATTTCAGAACCTGCATTAAACCTGAAGTTTCGGGGAAGTTTCAAGTTCCCACAAAGCTGATAGCAGCACAGGGCAGGAACTCCCTCTGGAAAGAGCCCCTGACCCTGCTCATTGTGCACACCTCACCCTGCTGCCCTCACCTGGGAAAAGCCCAAAGCTACTAAGATCTCAACTGTTTATGGAAACTCACACTATTATTCACTGGGAATATAAAGACTTGCTGTAACTGCTTCCCACCTACTGATGGACATAAAACCACCACATCTCTTTTGAGCTCTGCTGTAAATCCATCTATCCACCACAGACCTTTTAGATGCAAATAAAAAAAGCTGTAGTTGCATTTAACTATTTTAAAATAACTTCTGGGGGCATTTGTTAGGTTTTTTGGGGGAGAAACTGCTTTACTGGATCAGAACTTTTTCACAGGTGTTGGTGGTTTTCTTTGTTGGTTTTGGGGTCTTTCATTTGGGGTTTAAGTATTTAATGGGCACAAAGTCATAGCTTTGCCCATTTCTTTGGGTCTTGAGTCCATTTGTTAAGAATTTAAAGAATTTTAAATTACAGTTCTGGGTAGGTGCTTCTGTTGGAGCTGCCAAGTTTTGAACACAATCCCTAGTATCTCAGCATGAATGTCTTGTACCTGCTAAAAGCAGAACTTTCTTCACTAACCCCAAGTCACCAGAGGCCAAGCAGAACATATTTACTTGTCCTTGCCATCAGACACCTAGCACAGCACTGAGCTACACATGCACACTCCTAACACTGGCGAGTTACAGGCAGGTTGTCCACATGAGCATTTAACTGTTCACCTACTTGTGGAGAGGAGAAGCAATGTTTTCATGCAGAGATATTCTTCATAGGAGACTTGAAGCCGGGAGAGCTCTCGGGCAACCATAAGCATGTGTTTGCATTGTTCATACATACAGGGGAGATTCATTCTCTGCCTGAAAAATAAGAGTACACAGATTCATTACATGTCAGCTATCTAAAAATTCTAAACTTAAGGTTTTCTATGCTCCAGTCGAGAGCAGCAGGGTCTGTAGAGGAAGATGACAAGCTTCCAGGCAAATCACCTTTGGTTTTCTCCAGGAAACCCACTCAGGGTGACTGGTTTGGTCACCACATGTGAACACTGGCCTGGAGTGGCAGCACAAGGGGAACAAGACACAGGAAGCCCCAGAGTGACAAGGGGAGCTGGTCTTTACCAAGGACCTGACAGAAAGCTCTGTTGTCCCCTCACAAGCATCCTAAGAAACCCCAAGTGAAAACCAGAAGAAACACACACCTTCCTCAAGGTGCCAGAACCTAAAGAACAATGCAGATGAGTTTTTAAAGACAGAAAGAAATACAAGCTCTTGAAACTGTACTAACACCAAATCAAGTACCAGTCCAAAGCCCATCCCTCCCAACACAAGCTGCTGGCCACCTCCTGGGGTAGCAGGGCTATGTGTGACACTGAGGCAAGAATGGCAGCCACAGATCTGCAAACACTGCCCTTGTGCAGACTTCCATACTTGAGGAGCAACAAGGGGAACAGAGTGTGCAGCCCAGGTGAGCTGCATGGAGAAGCACCACGTGTGAGGGGTTTCTCAGGGCACTTGACACAAAGCCACTATTTGGCCATTGGGCAAATTTCCTCCTAATCCCTCTGGGTTGTATCACAGGACATCTTACAGATTTCCAACTGAGTAACTTAAACACATGCTGTGACAGGGCTCAGCAACTTCCCTCCTGTAAAACTATTCCCATTTCTGGGCAGAAGGTTAAAATCAACATGATGAAATGGGTCAGCCTGTTGTTTATTTCTATCTGCTGGAAACGCAAATATCACCGCAAGTCTGAAAATCTGTAAGACCTGCAGATTTTTGGTGATACCAAGGCTGTGCAGATTGCAGTCCTCAAAAACCAAGAGTAAAACACACCTCACTCCCTCCCTCCTTCAGAGGGTCTGGGTGCCCTGAGGAGCTCTGCACTGTGCCTGGGAGGGCAGCAGATCCCAGCTCCGACAGAACAATAGGGGAGCTGATTCACTGGATAGTCCTCAAGGCTGGCAGAGGGTCTGGGAAGAGGTCCCAGACATTCCTCACAGATCTCCTGGCCAGAGCACACCAGATGATCTCACTGGCCCAGGGCTGTGCATGGGAGACACTGGCCAAGGACCAGGGTCTCAGAGCCTGGAGCAGGGTCTCAAGGCTCCTTCCTTGCTCCCTGCTCAGCCCCACAGGTTCCCCTCCCTCCAGAGGGCATGCAGCAACTTTATCAATTAATTTACCTCCACATAAGCCAGACATTTAACTTAAAGCAGACTCTGTACTGAGATGATTAAAAGAGACATTGTACTTGGCAATGAAATCATGCTTGGTTTCTTCTCAGCAGAAACTACCTCCAGAACCACACTGGCTTTGTGGAGCCTTCACATAAAGCCTTGGTGATAATCATTGAATCATGGAATGGTTTGGGTTGGAGGGACCTTCAAGATCATCCAAGTCCCACCCCCTGCATGGGCAGGGACACCTCCCACCAGCCCAGGTTGCTCCAAGCCCCATCCAACCTGCCCTTCAACACTGCCAGGGATGGGGCAGCCACAGCCTCCCTGGGCAACCTGGGCCAGGCTCTCACCACCCTCACACTAAAGAATTTCCTCCTAGTGTCTCACCTCCATCTCCCCTCTTCCATTCCCCCTTGTCCTCTCACTGCAGGCCCTTGTACAAAGTCCCTCCCAAATCTAATCTAGTCCATCCAACTCAAATCCCCTTCTTGCCCTGTAGGTATCTAAGGTTCCTCTTGGTTACCCCCCCCCCAGGCATTAGTGAAAGGTTTTAACTGAACATAACCCATGTGAGGCACAGGGGATGTATGTGTGGGTCTGGGGGGGGTGTTGATGATAAAAGCATGCAATGATTTTCACCACTGCTGCAAGTCACGCAGTTCATCTAAGTTATACAAGAATAAAAATCAGTAAACAAGATGTTGGTGTCCTGAGGAACAGAGGATACTGACTCCACAGAAATGGCTACCAAAAATGTTCAGAAAACATTCTGGGAATAAGAGAATTGCTTATATAACTGTAATTATTTGTTATTTTTTTTCTACTCAAATAACACCAGCATAGATACTCAGCAGAGTCCATCATATTGTAAGGACAAGTAACAGGAAGAAGTTGACCTCAAACCCAAGAAGAACAAAGAGCAGAGATGATGAGCAAGCACCAAAACCCTGAGACACGGGACTTCCAAGAACTTCTTTTTAAAGCCAGACAGAAATTAAATGGCATTTGTTACTTGGTGAACACAACTGTCCAACAGCTACTGGTGCTCACTGTAATTTCATGTACACGGTGACATCAACAGAGGCCTGGAGCTGATGCAGCAACAGTGGCAACTGCAGCAAAAGCATGTGTTGAATCAGACTGTGGAAACAGTCAGATGTTTTCACAGTCTCCAAATACTAAATGATGGTTTAAAGCCTAAGATTTATTAAGCTGCCAAACTTTTCAACAACTTGAATTTTTGTGTGTTGTTATATATAAATGCATAGATTTTAACAGAAAATTGCCAACTGATACAGACTCACCTCCACAAAACTCCCATTCTTCATGTTTTGAAATGTAAAATGATGCTCTCACTGAGCAGTCACACATTAATCAAAGTATATTAGTTTTGCACAGAAATTAAATACAGAAATGTAAATGCAAAATATTTTCAAAACCCTTACAGTAACTTAAAATCCCTTTTTTGCCCCTCCCTCCTGAACTGCTGTGTAAGGCTCCCCTCTCCCCCCCATGCCTGGAGATGAAAACCTGCCAAGGGTTGCTCAGTATTTTCCCTGTGCAAAGAATTCCCTGGGGAAGGAAAGCCCAGCTGCACACCTGGGGGCTGGAGGTGTGTGCCTGTGCAATCCAGCAGCTCTGAAAATGGGAT